CCATGGCGTCCAGCGGCAAGGTGAGGGCGGGGGGCCGGGGGTCCCGCTGGCCCCGGGCACACACATGTCCCCATCCCTGGCACCGGGTAACCCCTCCCCGTGCTGGCCGCCGAGCCGCTGCCGGTGCAAAGCTGACCAGCTCAGAGGGAGTCAGTGTTCCTGCTATAGAGCACAGTGCAGCTCCCGCAGCAGTGACTTTTGCTGTTGCTAGAATAATGGTAGAACTGGTGTTGCTCTGTTAAAAATGCGGTTTGTATGTGTGGTGCGTTTAAGGAAACTTGTTGGTGAAAGCTGTGTTAAGGTCTCTAGTTATACCGGGCAGTTTAGTGTCTGTTAAACGCAGCTTCATCTGTGCCGCTTTAGCTTTTGCTTTGTGATAGCTGCTTGAGCACCGAGAGGTCAGAGATAAAGGCAGGCTTGTTCCATATCGCCCTCACCAGTTGTTGAGCAGGGCAGGTTGATTTAGCTCAGGTGTGACAGGGCTGTCCTGCGGTCACACGAGCGGAGCATCGGGAAAGTGTCGCCAAGGACCCTGCAGCAGCCCTGGGTGCTCGGGTGAGGTGCCCAGAGGTCAATAATGGCTGAAGAGAGACAGAGAGGGGATACCGGAGGAGCTGCCCCCTCCCTGAAGGAGGATTCCACTTACCTGAACAGGCAGCCAGCTTGCGCTTGCTGCCTTCCAGAAGGGCACGTTGGCATTGACACTTGATCGTGTGTTTCATAGGCAAAACAGCAGCTCTTCTCCTGTGCTTCTCTGGCTTCTCTGCTGTCATCCTGCCGTCTCTGAAGAGAATTTTACCCCTTAAAATCTTATCCCAACAGGATGGATTTGACTGCCAGTTTTTGGGTATTTTCAGGGTACACAGCACCAAGCCAAGGAGGGGCTGCAGCTGCTGATGTAGGTAGAGTAATTCCTCAGGCTGGAGGTGGGCACTGACGGGGCTCTTGTGAGAATGCAGTGCAGCCTCAGTAACTACCTCTGTTCCACTCTAAGCATCTGCAGTCCTGGCTGTCTCAGACACTCTTTCCTAGCTCCCAGGCAAGCCACTGGTTAAGCAGAGTGAGGAGCAGAGTGCTGAGACTGAGTACAACCTGCTGGACAGCTTGTGGAGCTCTGCTGCTCAGCCTTCTTTCTCTCTTCCCGTCCTTGCAGGATGCAGGGGATTAAACCATTGCTTGTTAAGATGTGCAAAATATATTCTGGGAAAAGAAGGAGGGTAAGAAAATAGCTTGAGAGCTGCTAATGCAGAGCGTTGGACTTACAACTTGGCCAAGTCATTCTTAACTTGGATTTAAGACTTGTGTATTTTGGTGACAAAAAGGATCAGGTTCTTTCAGCTGGTCTTTGAAAAGCTACTTAGAGTTGCTTGCAAGGCTGTATGCAGAGCTTAGACCAACACCTTTTCCCTCTGTTCATCCATTTTGCTTTGCAAAAACAGAGTCTGCATCTGGTGTCACTTGACAGACTTAGGATTATTGCCCACATCCTTTTGCCAGCTTCATTTCTTTTGGAATTGGATATATTTTGTATTTTAAAGCAAGTCAGCTGGCACCAGCCTAGGTAATACCCAACTTTCCTGTGTTCTGGCAAACAGTTTTTTCAAGCAGTGTAATTTAATCTTCTGGCAACCCATCAAACAAGGTTTTGATGTATATTTAGGGAACTTTGATTTAATCCATGAGGAAAAATTTCAGCTGGCCTTGGACATGCAGGACCTCATTTTGCTGAATTTCTCTTGCAACTACATACATCTGGATGATTAATCAAGATAAGGGGAGTCTGTGAAATGCTTTAGAGGAACTTAAGGGAGAAATTGCAAGTAACAATTTTATTTAATTCTAGTGTATAAATCAAGTCATGGGCAGACTTGTGCAGTGTTTTGTGTAGGTCAGTTAAAGAAGTGGTCAGAAATGCAAAAACAGAATAACTTGAGGGATTTAAGCCCCTGAATTGAAATTTGAATTCATCATTGCAGTTATCAACTAAAAGATCTGTTTAATTTCCTAGTGCAGAAAAGCCCTTAGATTCTTAATACTTTCATGGAGTTGTATAGAAATTGCATGCCTTTTACAAGTTATTGTGTAACAGGATTTTTTTTGTATTTTCCACCAAAATATCTGGAACATGGTACAGGATTAAATTATTTTCTTTTTAGTGCAGTTATACCAGATCTGTCTTCCACCATTGTCTCTTATATTAACAATTACTGTAAAAGAAACCACTTATAGTGTTGTTTGATTTTTAGGTGTCGTGTGTACCCTTTTAAGTAATTATGCTTATATTTTATTATTTATTCTTACTCATTCTTTCCAGGTGGCAATAGTGCTGTGCCTGGATGTAGGCCTTACAATGAGCAGCTCTTCTCCTGGTGAAGAGTCTTCACTTGAGCAAGCCAAGAAGATTATGACAAAGTTTGTGCAGAGACAGGTGTGTGCAACTTCAGAAATGTTAAAGAGGGAGAGGAAACAATTACATCTGTGAAACATTTTTCATAATTTACTCATTTACTAATAATTGAGACTTCAACAATTAATAATTACCACACAGAAGACTCATTTTGAGGGCTGAATCAGCCAATTTCATTTGTTTAATCCCAGATAACTGCTTGTCAAATTGTTATTTTAATTATATCTAACTTTGTGTACTCGCTGTAAGGTTTCGTTTTGAGAGAGTAGCACTGAGTAAGTTAAAAAAAAAGTAAATCCATTGTAACTGATGTTTCAAATTTAGTTCAGCATGCTGTAAACTGCCTAACATAGTTGTGTATTAATCTGCCTGTGTTTTTATACTGTGCTGTGTTCTCTGTATTTGCAGGTTTTTGCTGAGAGTAAAGATGAAGTTGCTGTAGTTTTGTTTGGCACTAATGGCACTAGAAATGACCTTTCCAGTAAGGATCAATACCAAAATATTACTGTACATAGGTCACTAATGCTGCCAGATTTTGATCTGCTGGAAGACATTCAAGATGTGATTAAAGCAGGCTCTAAACAAGCAGACTGTATCCTTTTGCTTTTGAGCACTTCTTGAACTGATTCAGCTACGTAGGAGACAGGAAGGCAGTGTTGTGGAATTGGGCTCAGCCTCCAAAGTTTTAGCTACTATCAAAGTTGAGCTAATTTGTGGTTGTAAGTTTGTCCAAAAGCGGATTTAGCTGCTTTTTGACATTCTTTTAGGCTAACAGATGTAGTCTTGGCCTTAAAAGGAATCATTGCTTTTATGAAGTGTTCTGTTAATTAAAGAGAACAAAGATAGTGATATAATTTTAGGCCTCAAATAAGGCATGTGTTTTTTAAAAATAGCATTACAGAATTTGGTTTATGCTTCTTAATAAAAATGTTATTTATGAAATAAGTCAGCAGAAGTACCAGAAATCAGACTGTCGTGGTTTAAGCCCAGCTGGCAACTCAGCCCCACACAGCTACTTCCTTATTCCCCCACCAGTTGGGAGAGAACTGAAAGGGTAAAAGGGAGAAAACTCGTGGGTTGGGAAAAAGACAGGTTAATAGGGAAGTTCAAAGCTGTGCACACAGGCAGAGCAAAACAGAATTATTCACTACTTCCCATGGGCAGGCAGGTATGCAACCATCTCCAGGAAAGCAGGGGCTCTATCAGACTTACCAGAACTCTGAATATCCCCCCTCCTTCCTCCTTTCTCCAGGCTTTACATGTTGAGTGTGATGCCAGGTGATGAATATCCCATTGGTCAGTTGGGACCAGCTGTCTCTCCTGTGTATCCTCTCAGCTTCTTGTGCCACCCCCAGCCTTCTCACTGGCAGGGTGGTACAAGAACCAGAAAAGGCCTTGACTGTGCAGGCACTACTCACCAACCACTACAGTATCCCTGTATTATCATCACTGTTTGCAGCACAATTTCAAGACACAGCCCCTTGCCAGCTCCTGTGAAGAAAACTGGCTCTACCCCAGAGAAAGCAGAATAGATCAGATTGATTTATTGATGAAGTATTTCTAACATTGCCAAATATTGCTTCCTGGTTTCAATGCCATTCATGTTTGAATGTGTTCTGCTTTTAGTTACATATAGGATGAAGAGTTTTCAAGGGTGATCTATCTAGTGTTCCTTCATGTGTTTAATTTACATACGGATCAGTTTCCTAGGTTGTCTCTCTCTGGCCATAAAACAATTGCTGTGAGCTCTGTCTAGGCAGTCAGACCTGTTTCAGAGAAGTGTGCAGCTAGTCAGCTGGCTCACACATTCCCAGTGGGAATTGTGATGAGGAAGAAACTAAGAGTTTGTCAGATGCAGGTGCTTTGAAGAAAAACTTGCATGAGAAAATTATATATATTGAAATTTTGTTGATGGATTCAGAGTAACATTCTAAAGCTCCTTTTATTGGACTTGAGCCTCTCATTGACAGTTGAGAGGCTGTGATCTGAAGTAGTCTTTTTAGTGTTCCATTGGGTAAGTGGGGCAGAGACAAGATTACAGTACACACAAGTTATATAGGAATCTTTTGCACATTAGTTATTTGAAAAGTATTTATCTCAAAAAACTATTTATTAACTAAAATGCATGTTTGCCTAGTCTTTGAGAGGAAGTGAAAATGTAAAATTGTTTTATATGAAAAACACTTTTTGTTACTTGATTCATATCCTAAGATTTTTCTTAATTTTGCTTAGTTTTGGATGCTATTATTGTGTGTATGGACTTGCTTCAGAAGCAAACAATGTGAGTATGTAACCTGAAGTCTTATACAGATGTCTGACTTTGCAGTGCTCTGTTTTCTTGTCAGTCTTATATTTCCAGTACATATAAACATAGGAAATGCTTTCTTAAAAAAAAATAAATAATAGAAAACCAACAAAAACCAAAAGACCTTTAAAGATAAACAGCACACTACAGAAGTTTGTCTCTGAAGAATCCTTGTGGGACATCTGACTTCTCCAGACAATTGGAGAGCTTTCTGAGGCAACTGGCAACTCTGTAGTAGAGCCATGAGCATATTAATGCCATTATAGAAGGCACAAAGCCTTCGCATTCCTTGTCTTCTGCTTTCAAAATGTCTTAATCTGGATGTTAAAATGCTTAGAAAAGGACTACTGAATTTAAATGGAATGGCACATTTTAGAAAGAAAAAAAGAAAACAAAACTAGAAAGGTGAATTTGTTCAACCTAGACATGTAAAGACTGTTGGCTGTTTGTAAATATGGAGGCTGGAGTAAATAAAGGTGCAGAATGAAAAAACACTCTTTAAGCTGAGAAAAAATGGTGACATCAGTGTTACAAAGTTGTCAGTGAAGGTACTTAGGCTGGCAAGGTGTTTCTAACACTCTGTCTGGTGCAGGGAAAGGAAGGTAATTTTACTTCCTTTCAAACCAGAGTTTGAGCATGTTTCTAAAAAGGTTGTGTGATCTAATTGTGAGTGCAGAAGACTAGACTTGGTGATGCAATTTGTATTTTTATGAATACAGTCTAATCAGTGTGGGAAGCTGTATGCCTCCCAAATTCCCAAATTTAATAGTTAAAACTGAGTTGTGAATGAAAATGACTGTGTTTATGGCATTATAGCCTTGAATAGCTACGGAGCACCAGATTTTGTTGTAGCCTGTATACACCAAGCCCTTTGATATGGAGTTTGCCTTCATTAGAGAAAATACTATAGGATAAAAATTCAAGAAAATCTTATGTTTGATTATCCAGATCAAAACCGTACCAATTCAACTGAATTTTGTTCTGTCATTGGCCAGCCTTTCTGATCTGTGCTGTTACTGCTCCTTAGTCTATTGAGTAGTCTTGAAAGTCCATCTTCTCCGATGAATTTACTGAATTAGACTACTAAAATGGAACCCCTACCAGCAACAGTAATTTAAAATACATTTTCACGAGAACAGACGTACATCTGCAAAGGAAATAACCAGTGTAATCTGTAAACAGCCTATTTTATTAGCATTTTATCCACACTGGTGAAAATTGGTAGAATTCCATTCATTTAGATGTAGTTAGTGATTTATACAGTCACAGGGCTAGAGTCCTCAATTTTAGGGTAGAAGGGAGAAAGGAGAATCATATAAACACTTAGGATAAATAATATAACCTATGGTAGAATAACTTCTACCAGGTAAATTTACTTGGTTTCTTTCATTTTACAAGTATATTTATTTGCTAAAAAGTAATTGCAAATATATTACTTTTGTTACTATTTTGTAAGGAAATAATTTTTAAATGGCCTTATAATATTTTCAATATATGTAAATGTTTTTCTCTATTTTAAGAGGAAAGAAATATGAGAAGAGACACATTGAACTGTTTACGGATCTTAGTAGTCCTGTTAGTGAGGATCAGCTGGGAATTATCATTGCTAACTTGAAGAAAACAGGAATTTCACTTCAGTTTTTGTAAGTATGAAAATGACTGTTAGGTACTATGCCATTTTTTAAAGGGAAGTTATTCTTTCTTAATAATTATCTTGAAATGGCTGGTGATCCACTGGTTTATAGTTTCTATAAAAGTGTAGCAGTAAGTAATGTGATTATTGTAAGTACTTCTGTTAGTTATATGTACCTTGAATTCCAGTTATGAGCCAGGTCCCCTTGGTTAAGTAATGTGCAAATAAATGTTAAGATGATGGTTTCTTCTCCTCTTAATCTTAGAGCTTAGAGCCAGAGTCTAAAGTGGGAGACAGAAGGACAATATAAGCAGAGAATTGGGAAACAATAAGCCAAAAATAGCCTCAGAAACAGTGGTTTTGTCACAGCAACAGCCTAGATCCTTTTAGGTAAGGACATTACTGGGTAGAAATAATAAGGCATTGTTACAGATATTAATAGCTTGATTCCGGTGTCAATAGAAGAGCAGGTCTGAATAGAAGGGTTATATTCACAATGATGGCTTGGGAAATGGAAGCAATGTCTTAAGTGTTAGAACAGGAATTCCTTGATTGTCATGCTGTAGATATAGGCATTGATCCCAATAGTCAATGGTGGTCTTAAGGTCTGTATTAGCTGTTGCATGTGATGACTTCTGGAAGCTGTGAGCCTTCTAGAGTTTATTTTAAAGCCAAACTTTATGTGGCTGTTTATAAGAAGTACTTTCACAGGAGAAAGTTAAAGCCCTAGTTTTCTTCTGACCATGTACTTTTTCCTAGATCCATCATTCTATAAGGAACAATGTTGTGAACTTAATAGTGAATAAATTTAAGCCATTTGCCAGCCCATCTGGAAGATAAAGAAGCAGTTAGGTAGGAAAATGTGACTGAAAATCATGGTCTGATCCTCCACAAAAAAAATCTTTGCATTTGCTTAGGGGGACGCTGGGTGCAAAAATGTCAGGTTTTGTCTACATAGCAAAAGCAGTTATGCTTCCAATGTGACATGCCCCTCCTGGCTTATTTGAGCTGTTGTTGGCACTGGAGGCAGTAGAGGTGCAACACCATGAATCTGAGTACCTCTGCCAGTCAGAGTACATCTTTTGGAGCCCTGGTATTCAGCTGCTGCTCTCTTGTCTACAAAGCACAGAAGAAATGTTGCTGTTATAGCACTGGCTGCAAGTTTGCACCCTGTCTACCAGCCATGGGAGCAAAGGATTATTTGATTTTTACTTGTACAAATGCAAAATGTTTGTTTAAAAATAATTTCTTGCTTAGCCTTTTGTTATAACCTATATTTCCATCTCTTATACCCTGTTCATAGACTAGGTTGTAACTTGCAGCAGATAGTTTGTTTTCCTCCCTGTTTCCAGGTGCCAAACACATGCTGAGCACTGTGAAGTGTTGGGTATTACGTACTTCTCATTACAGTAGTCTCTGGGCATTATATAGTGAATGTAGCCTAACTTTTATCTGTCAGAGGTTTGAAGCTTTTTGATGTTGCCATATCAGCTTAAAAATTTCAGTGGAATCTGCTTCCTAAAAAGGTACCAAACACTTTCCTGAAGCTTGATCTTTAATTTTGATGTATGTGACACTGTTGTGCATATAATGTTAACTCTGCTTATTGTGTGTTGCTTCATGGATAAGTTTAGTGAGGACTAATGAGGTGAAAGTATGGAAGAGATGTGTAGGCTGCTTTTTAAAAAAAACATAGTACAATGCTAAAGTTATTTTGCTTTGTAGAAATGTGGTAAAAGGTATCATGTGGTTCATTCAAAAATGGATCAGATGAAAGACCTGAAAAATCTGCAGGTGTTTTCAGGGGCACAGAGTTGATCTTATACATCTTTCTGTGCTGTTTGTTTTACTCAGTTAACACTCTTCTATATTCTGAAGAGCTGCAAAATCATTTTATCTATAACCCCTGGCTAAATTTTTAAATCTGATTCATGAAGTGCAGGAAAAATGTGTCATCTTCAGTCAGAAATTCACCCAGTGTTGTAAGCTATTAGAATCTCAAAGAGTAACATTTGTTCCAGAAATACCTAATAGCTCCACTGCAATGAATGTCCTGCTTGCTGGCATTTGCAGCTGATACAGTCATAGGCCTGGGATGGCCTTTAACAAGTCATTTAGAGCAATCCTCTACTGCAGACTGGGTCAGCTGTATGTCTGTCATTGCTGAGCAGTGTTTGTCTAACCTTCTGATAAAGATTTGCAGTGATGGAGACTCTTCTCTCTCCTCAGGCAGTTGGTTTTAAAGATTATGGTTTGAAATGTCTTTATCAGGTTTTTCACTCTCTGACCTGACTCCATGATGTGATTGGAGTGCAGGCAGAATACAAAGAACTGATTGTTTCCTTCCTCTCTGCAACAGCTTTTTATATTTAAGGCTGTCTTGCCCTCCAATTCCCTCCTCTATGGGCTTTATTTTGTTCAATCTTTTTTAATGGATCTTGCTTTCTAATCAGCATTGGCTTTACTGTCTAATCTATTCCTGTATGTGGATGTCTTTACTGATGCACGATACCCAGAGCTGGTGCATCACTCTGGTCAAGACATTTCCAATGCCAAGTAGACTTGAAATAGTGCTTAATTTGTTTTGCAAGTCCTGTGGCTCTTTATACATCTGTCTGCAGCTAGATAGAAATAATTGATCCTGAGAACATTTTTTTTTTGTTTTGATTGGTTATTTTAATAAGGAAGAAAGTTAAACTAACTGCTTCTTCTTTTGTTCTTAGTCTGCCATTTCCAGTGAGTGTTGATGGTGGAAGTGGAGATACAAGTGCCAGCGTACGTGCTCATATACACGGAAACTCTTTTCCAATAAAGGGTTTAACTGAACAACAAAAGCAGGGTATTGATGTGGTGAGGAAACTCATGTATACTTTGGATGAAGAAGGAGGGCTGGAAGAAATTTATACTTTCAGGTAAATTTGGCTATGCCTGGTTATTGTACTATAGATATACTTTGTGATTTCTTCTCCAAAACATGAAGTAATCAGTTGTGTCACAGTTTCATTGAAATCAGTGAATTTTATGACTTATTGTACCCTCAGTCCCTTTCATACAGCTTCTTCAGTAACTTTAGAATAAGTAGAAGAGCTTAGAGATTTCAGGGCAAAATTAATTTTCTGTAGTTAAAGAAAAAGATCAGCTTTCTTCCATCTTTAGTGTTGGAGAATTTTGGAGGAAACATTTCTGTAAATGTCATTTCAAAAATGTGTTTTAGAAAGAAATGGAATTTGTGGCATAGTGCAGCTTGAATATCTGCATTTAATTGGTAGCCTTTGTTCCTTGGTCACAGACTTCTTTTAGCTCACTGGTTTGATAAACTCCCACGAATTCTTTGAGTAAATGTTGTTTGTTGAATTCTCCTCTTTAATCACAGTCTACTGTGCCACCGTGACAAACAATTTATTTTGTTGTTTTTCATTTTTCTTGCATTAGGAATGCAAGAATTGAAAGATGATTTTTCACTTCTTGTTTCCCCAATGAAAGAATAAAAGTTTGTGTATCTTTGAAAAACTGTAGCTAATGATATATCCAAAACTTTTCTATGCAGGTGTTGTCTCAGTTGGGAAGCAGGCAAAATGCATCTACGTGCCTTATCATAGTCTGATGTTACTGTCACAGTAGTTCTCTTCCACAATTATGAAAAGTGATCTTTTAGACAATGTGGTTTCCAGGAAGCTTAGCAGACCATAGCTGTAATGTTGTTATCATAGCTAATTTATTGGCTTTAATTATCTAAAAAAGGTAATTTTTAGATGAGGACTGTCCCTGTAGGTTTGTGTGCTGTAATTAATCAGTTTATTTGTGGGATTTCCTTCCCTTCCCCGGGCCAGCTGGTTAGCTTTGCACCTCAGCAGCCTGAGAAGCTGCTCCTTGAGCATCAGTGTGCATTAGTGAAGAGACACGTGTCTCTGTGTTCTGTACTAGTCAACAGAGCAGTCTGAGTCTCTAGAAAAAAGCAGGCTTTGTCACTGCTTCAGAGACTGCACAGAGAAGCAGAATCTTCCCTGGCCCGTTTATCCTTTAGGATAATCCATATGCATGAACCTACCATGTGGCTTGGCCTCTTTGTACTTTTTTTATCACAGACTCTTGCTATTCTACAAGCTGTCTTTGTGCCATACTTTCAGGGGAAATCCAAAATCTCTGGATAAATAGGCATTTGGCTAGTAGATTAAAGCTTTAGTTGGAAAAGTTGTTTAAGAATATGTGAGGGTTTAGATGCAATTAAGTTGCTTATCAAGCTTTAACAAGTCAGCTTTGCAAATCTGTCATGATAATTGGCCAATGCAGATACACTTCCCATTTTCCTAGATTCATTATTCCTGCTGTTAAAAATATTTCAACTCTTGTAAAAATAAATTAGCCATGCCAGGAAAGTGAGTGAGGAGATTTTGTTGTGTATATTTAGTTATGATACTCGGCCTATTAGACAGGAAGCACTTCTGCTGCCTCTGGGTTTTGGGGGAAGGGATTGCAGAGCAGAAGAGAAAGGTTGTGTTCATAAAATACAAGCTAAAATGTACATTTGCAAGGGTTGTATTGACTGGATCATCTTTGATAACAGGCAGCATTTTTCTTCTATAAATATAAGAAATTAAAGGATAGAGATAATAAATTGAGCTTAAATCACATTTTTAGGTACTTGGCACTTATGTATTTGATTTTTGTACTCATCCCTGAATATATGTGTTGCAGTACACTTAATGATATAGTACCATGTTCTTTTTTAAAATCTTGTATTGATGTCTTTATTGCTAGGAAAAAAAACCCCTTCCTTTACTTTCCCTAAGGAAAAAAAATGTAAAAAGGAAATCCAATGTTTATCTCATATAAAAATCCCAGTGTGTTTTTGCCTTTCATTGTACTTTTGGACTTCAATGAAACCAACCCTGTTCATACTAGGAAACCTGAAAAGTAGAATGCCAAGTTAAATTCTGTACTGATCTTGAGTTGATCTTGATTTGTGCCAGACAAGTGCTTTAATCAAAAGAGTGGTAGATTTCAGGTTTTATCATAACGTAAAAAAGAGGAGTTCAACTTTGTTTTATCTTTGCTTTATCATGCAATGAAAGAAAAACCAAAAAAAGGAGTTCTTTCTCTCTGTTGGAATTTTACAGCCAAATAGCCAATACTGAAAATAGCTGAAAGTTGTTTGGGGAGAAAGCCTATTTGAATTCACAATGATATATTATAAATTACTGTGAATTGTTAATTTTGGATGCTGTTGCTAAAAGTTGTGCAATTAAATTTACGCTTTTTAGTGTAAAGTCACTACAGTTACTTTTTTTATTTGTATATCTCTTATTTAGGCTAGAAATAGTTGAAGTAACCTCTTTCACTCTGACAGAATGCCCTTTAATGCATTCACTAGTACTGTATAAAAAAAAGTGTCAAAAGTTTATTTCCACATAAACAAAATCCTGTTAATTGAAACTGGATTCTTTATTTCTTCACTAGAGAAAGCATTTTATCACTTAGAGAGCCTTTTCTAATTTGTGTTGTTCAGCTTGCTACATGCCCTAATTGGGTGAGTACAGATAAATGGAAAATGCTTAATTGTGTAGTTTTATCACTAGATGTAACACAGGGTCTTTAAGCCCTAATGTCACCATCATAAAGGCTCAAGATGAGGATTATCTTCTGTTCCACCTCTTTTTTTCATTCTCTTTTCTGACAATGGGTAATGATAAGATTATTGATAGAGTTTATTTACTTTGTGCAATCTGAGATGAAACAGTTTGGACTCGTGCATTTCCTTAAGGAGAGTGTATTGTCTGTAATACTTACTAGAGTCCACCAGAGTTCATTTCTGTTTTCCTGATTCCTTCATTTAGAGAGAGCCTGGAACGTCTTTCAATGTTTAAGAAAATGGAAAGAAGGCCTATGCCTTGGCCCTGCCAGCTCACTATTGGTCCCAATTTGTCTATAAGGATTGTGGCCTACAAATCAGTAAGTGTACAAAATTATGTGTTTTAGTGTAATTTGACAGCAAGTTAGGTGCAACTGCATGGGTTTTTTTTTCCTTAAAGCTAAAAAAATAAAGATTAAAAAAATCCAAATAATTAGCTAGAGATTTTACTTTGGTTAGAAGCCAGTACATCTAAAATTGTGGTTCCCACAGCAACTTTATCTTCACCATACATGTTAAATAACTAAAATTCATAAGGTGCAGAAATAGGAGTAATTGCTATCTACTCTGGCACTAAATGCTATTGAAGTTGATGACCGTTTAAGAATGCTGTGACTGAGGATTTACATTCAGCATAAGTGATATGTGAGACTTTATTTATATTTCTTAAGCCCTAGGCTTGAGAGGAATTTTGGACATTAGATTCCAAATGTGTGTGTAAAATGGTGGGTGTAAATGTTTTACCAGCCATTGTTTCAAATCACATCTGTTGTTATTTCAGACTTGGAATAAAAGATCTGTTTTTCCAGCTTGTTTGTACTATTTGGCAGAGCTTGGGCCCAGTCTGTTTCTTATGGTTTATATGGTTCTTTTAATCAGTGCTAGGAAAAAAATAAGTGTACTTAAAGGCAGAAAATGTCCAAATTTTTAGTTATAGTTAATAGGTAACTGTGTAGTGTGGCAGTATTGATTGATCTGGTGAGATGGAGATTAATTGGTTTGTTATTTCAACACAAGACTGAGTCTGATATTAAGATGAAATATATCTGAGAGAGCTGGGTATGCTAGCCTTGAAAGACATCAACATTCTATTTATAGTTATTACTAATTTTTTTATTAGGCTATTGTGCCAGACCAGTGCAAATAGATTGAAAGAGTCCTTTCCCAAATATGTTTACACACAGAATAAAGTAAGATTGGGAGAATAAGCAGTGTGAACTAAGTGACTGGCCTGAAGTCATAGAGCAGTCATACTGACATAATCTATTCTGTCTTTACTGTTTTCTGCTCAGGTCTACATTTTTCTTTTCATGTACCAACTATACCATCAATTTCACTTAAGCAGAGAGAAAAGAAAGCAGTTTTATTTCCCTGTAGTTTGGAAACAGTCACTCTTTGTAAATACTTATTCCTTCTTTCTCTCCCAAGTGCCATAATGCAACTGGGATAGTTTTGCCTTTTGGGGAAGTTGCAGTAATATAAGTATTTTTATCCTGTAGTGTAGTAAGCCTGATGGAATATGTGGCCAAGTAAGCTGCGTGAACATTGAGTCTTACTGTATCAATAACATAGTTCTTAATGCTTTGTTAAAAGTATCTATACCGTTGGAGGTAGTAAATTGCATAGCAAGCAAGTTATACATAACCTGTGTATATCCTGTGACTCAAAGCCTTCCTCAAATGGCTTAACCCACAGGTTTAATGAATAACCAGGACAAGCTGTCAGTATGCTACGGTTCACATGTTAGGTCTCATGCAGATGAAGCGGTGCTGAAAGCACAGTGGTGGCAGCCAGAGATGCATTATTCGACACTGTCTTTATTAGTTCTTTATTGGCAAAACAATGCAGCACTCAGGCTAAGGATTTTTTATGTGTTCTGGTAAGTATTCTGGGTGCCACTGAAATGTTTAACATTCCTTTTCTTTGAATTCTGATACCCAGGTCACAGAAGAGAGGATGAAAAAACTTTGGACAATTGTGGATGCTAAATCCCTCAGAAAAGAGGATGTGCAAAAGGAAACTGTTTACTGCTTGAATGATGATGATGAGACAGAGGTTCAGAAAGATGATACTATTCAAGGTACAACATCTTTATGTTCACCCTGAAGACAAAGGGAAGATATAATGGCTTGGACTTTTAGGTGACCTAAGGGCCTCTTAGTTTTATACCTTGAAGCCTAGCTGTGATCTTAGAATGTAAGCTCTGTAGGCTGATGGAACACAGAGACTGTTACATGAGACTTTGATTTCACATATTTAAAAAAAAAATAAATCTTACTTTGCCAGTAGTAGGAATAATAATAATAGGAATAATAATGACAATAGGAATAATAATAGGACTAATAACAACATCAATAATAATAATAACACCAGATGGAACTTGGAAGGCACTACAGTGTTCTGAACTGTGGAAGGCCATACCTCAGTTCTGTAGTGTGCAGTTCTGCTACCACTATTCCGTTTTTAGATCTTCAGTTGTACTGATAACATGAATACTTTCATAGTGCTGCTTTTTTGTAGATGAGCAAATGCTCTAGTTATTCTGCACTTGGAAAGATGAAGCCATCAAAGGAAGGTTTAGTGTTCAAGAGTACTAGCTTTGCTGTACTGTAACAGGATCAATCTGAAGTAGTTGTATGCAAAATACTTTTTATGACCTGCAGCTTCTTTCTGAGCCGATTAATTTCCTTAGAAGTCTACTGGCCCCAGAAACAGCAGGAAATAGTGTACTTACTTTTAAAGATGGAGTTAAGCAAATCTTTTTCATTTTCTGTGATTGTATAGATAAATTTTGTTACTGTTTTTTTTCCTTTCCTTTTCTGTTTCAATCCTATGCAAGTAGGGCAAGTATATTAACTATAAAGAGCAGAACAATTCAGATAACAGTATAGAGAGTGCTGTCAAATGAATAACATAAATTGAAAATTAGAATAAGCTGTGTTTTTTATTTAATCTATTTCAATTTTAGCTTTCATAGGTGTTTCATAGCAGTATCAGATAAAGTCCCAATGACAATATGACCTTATTTAAACAGAAATGATGGTTAAAAAATGGTCTAGTTATGTTTTACAACTTCAAAGTTGTGTGTAAAAAAAAAAAAATCCACTTCTTACAGAGAATGCATTTTGAAGGATTTGTGACTGGTTTTCAGCTAATCTCCTGACTGCTTAAGTTAGTAAGGAGTTGTGATATACTAGTATAAAGAAGTGGTGAGCAGTTCAGTGTGAACCAAACAGATACAGGATTTCCCTATCAGTTGTGTGATATTTCTAATGCTAAAAGAGCTTCTGATGTCTCCTGGACTTTTGTGAATCTTTTGAGAAATGTCATAATTAGACAATATTTTATATTTGCAGCACCCGTACTGATATTTCCATTCTGTTGTTGTTTCCAGTTTGTAGGAAAATAGATCTGCTTGTAGGTTTTTCATCCAGGGATTTATCTCTGTTCCTTCTTTGTTCTTCACACCTGAGGGATGCCATCCTTAGTCTGTGGTACTATAATAAAGTGATGATGTTACAGGGAGGATATTGGAAGCTGAGATAGGAGAATAAGCAATTGGAGCAGATGATACCTCTGAGAAATTACAGCTTCCTGTTTTGTGGATGTATGCCTGTAATATATGGCACAGGAAGTAAAACACAGAAATATATAGGAAGATCAGTTCTGCATACAGGAGTGTTTTCATTTTCCATTGTGTATCTTACTTCCACTGTTAGCACATTTTATTCTCTGAATCTCTTCTGGTGTCACCTCATGTGGTATGATTTGTGGTATGTTTGAGGTTGCTTGTATTATGTTTGCAGAGAGTGTTGAAATCTGTTTGCTGAAATCTATTCTGATTTGCTTAAATCTATTCTGTGAGCGTAACTTTTTTAGGCAAGATGTTCTCTTATTTTCTTTTCTGCTCTCTGAGGGTACTTGTGTTACATAAAATGATGTACAAGGAGTAGTGCAACTGCTGTTCACGAAGTACAAAATGTGTCTATGGGTGTTTGGGGTTTTTTTTGCTAACAGGGAAAGTAATTTGATGAGCATGTGTGGAATGTAGCTGTGGGGCATGAATGCATTGTTAAAATATTCAGAGAGCTAATTTTGGTGTTAAAATTGTAGGCCCATATGCTTACCAGATGCTCTTCTCTTGTTCTCCAGGTTTTCGGTATGGGAGTGATATAGTTCCTTTTTCCAAGGAAGACGAAGAGCAAATGAAATACAAAACAGAAGGAAAGTGTTTTTCTGTTTTGGGATTCACTAGATCCTCGCAGGTGTGATACTAAATGTCTTCCCATTCAGCTTCCTGGGTTATTCAAGACAATTGGTCTTGGTTAGAATTCAGTAAAGTCATGGTGTTGTATTGAGTTTCAATATTGGGAATGGGGCATCTCCACTCAGGTATGCAGGGTTGACTTATTTGCTGATTCTAGTAATTCATGTAAACGGTATGTGGTCTTGTGAAGGAGAGGAGCTTGTAAATGTGGGCATTGGACCCTGAAGTGGAGCCAGAGCCACTGAATTCAGATCTCTGTAAAGTGGAGACAGAGGTATTTCATCTCGCAAGCTTTAATAGTCTGTCTTCTGTTCAGCTCATGCAGCAACCTTTCTGGGCTTTGTCCAGCCAAGAGTAAGGCTGCTTCTTAACAGAAGCTTCTCCCTCAGCATTAAAGTAATATTAAAGCAAGACTGAAAGCTGACTCCATTAATTCCCAATTCCATAAGGATTAGTTAGTGAACCAAGACTTGCCTCTTCTTTCTATTGTGATAAAACTTAAATGTAGTGAAGACTTCTTAGAACTTAGACATCATTCAAAAACTCTTCATATTTCCACAAGGTGCTTGGTGTTTACAATGCACTTATCTCTAATTGTGGTATTGACTTTGCTATTTGTTGTCCCTGACAGTTTTAAGAAACTTACTTTAAGCAAGTACCTTAATAAAAGTTATCCAGCTCAAGGTGATTTCCTTCAGAAAATCCAGGACTTAAGCATTGGCAAAGCCTTAGGCAAAGGCTTAACAAAACTGTTCTTGAAGCTGGACACATGAGGAAAGAGTACAGAGATATGAGTGCCAAGTAATTACTGTGAATATTAAGCTGCTCCCCATCTTTTTTCTCCAGGATATTGCACAGGGTGACTGAAACTTGACTTACCTTCGAGTTATCCACACCTAGTTCTCTTCACCAGTCAAAACTGAAATGAAATTGTAGGGCCATTCTACACCTGTTCTGACAGCTCCTAGACCTCCTGCTCTTTGAAATCTCTCACTGCCTGAACAAAGTAAAAGGCTAAGGCATCATCACCTTTACCATCAAGGAAAGATGCTCATGAAATAGGAAGCATCTGTGGGAACTTACTCCCAAATGGATGTAACTAAACATCTTCTTACTTTACAAGTGTCACAGAGACCTTGTGCCTGTTGCTAGATATGTCATTAGACTACGACAGTGCAGTGTTCCTAAACATAATAACCGAGGAGCCAGGAAGTTATATGATTTACTGAAATGAGGAGCCAGCCTAACTGGAAACTGTAACCTGGTTGCTCCTTGAGGACCTTCAAACGTTGTTGTTTAGTGTAGCTGTTTAGTATATTTGTTTAGTAACGTGGGATCTTGTGCACTGCTAGTGATTGAGCAAGGAAACATCTTATGCTTGAACTTATGTACCCTAAATTGGTCAGGGCCAGAGAGGTGTTAGGGAGTGCTACCTCCTGTACCAGTAACTGGATCTAATGAATGAAATGTGTCTGAACCCAGTGTTCCAATGAGACAATTTCTTGTATCTCTCCATCCATTATTAGCCTCCAGCTGAGTCTTGCTATTGTCATTTAGTTCTGCAAAATGTATTTCACTGTGTGCAGAGTTTTCTTATGCTGGAGGTTGGCCTCCTGTTTCTGTTGAAATTTATTTGAAAATGGAAACTAAGAGGAAAGCAGATGATGAATATAGTGTTCCTGTGAGCAAACTGCTATTTCACATGGATTTTTATTTTCCCATTGTTGGTCAGATAGTGTGGTAATACCTTCAGATACATAGTTAATAATTGTAAGGGTACAGTTAATTTTAGGGATACTTTCTGAGTCACATAAATATGCATAAAAGAATCAACAAGTTGTTTTTAAAAATTTTCAATGTACCAAATATTGACTGCTTTTGGTTAATTTTTATGATGTACTTCTCTTGTGTCTAGATTTCATAACAAACAGAAATTATATCTTAAAGTGTGCTCTGGTCCTTTAGGCAGGAGTGTGAGTAGTTATGCCCAGCAGTAGCTGCCCATTTCCTCAGTGGAATGAAATTATTTGGGTGTGCTTGCAGGATTAAAATTACAATGCATAGATATTGATATCAGCAAGTTTTAAACTACAGCTGGAATTTTCAAGAGCCACGTGTTATATCAAGTTTTGCCTCTTAAATTTTATTGTTTGGAATAATAAAATTGCCAGTGTTCAAATGTATGTTTTATATTAAATCGTTCCTTTAAAAAACTTTGATGGAAAGATAATTCATTATTGAGTAGAAAAACTGGAACAGCTCCAAATACATAATTAAATAAGGAATAGAACCACCTTATATTATTTTTCTGAGTTGTTCACATCCCTCAGGAAAGAAGATCAGAGGCCGCTTAAACTTTGATTTTTAATTTATGAGCCATGCTGTGTAAATCAAGAAATAATACTTGAAAATATTACAGAGAGACAATTTCTTTTGCAAACAAAAAAAAGATGTAGTGATACACATCTAGTTATTTATACTATACTGAAGGTAAAATTTTCTGAGCATTTAGAAACAGAACAGGAAAGAAGAATTGCAGGTAGAAAAATCTGAGCCGAATTGTGCTGTAGTACAGTAAATAGGTCTGCTCTGGTGCAGGTTGTCACTGACTTCAACAGCCTCATGGTAATTTGCCAAATAAAGAAGATAAAATAAAAAGATGAGTGAAAGAAAAATCAAAGGTATAACGAAGTTAGTTCTGCAACTGTAATTCGAAGAGTGTTTTCTTTAACAGAGAGGTTATTTTAACCAGTGTCCATAGTAGTGTGTGATCTTTGTGATGGGTCTTCTATGACTGCAGGGTTTCTATGTGTGTGTGAGCTGCTGTAGCTCCAGCTATTCCAGTGATGCTCCTTGATGAAACTATTTTTTCTTTTTGATTCAGCCATGTTCATGAATAGAATAAACTCTGCCAACAGAAATGCTTCTTTGCCAGCACAGCTGTATATATTCTGGGTTGCCGTTGAAGTAGCTTTATTAATTAAGGATGCAACATTTTGCAGCTCCTTTTTGATGTAACTTTGCCAGAAAAATGTTATAGCATAAATATGGTGTCAGGTTTAGGTCTTGTATTAACTACTGTAGCTTCCCACAATAACTTTTGAATTACTGAAGTATAATTCAGACTGGTAACAGCTGCCAGTAGCACTGTCTTTCATTCCTGCCCATCAGTATGAAGCTATGAGAATATCCTACCCAATATGATTGAATTCCATATTAAGTGATAAATGGAGATACATACAGGGCTTTAACCTCTATGCACTGTAATTAAATTTGGTGGCTTCTGACTTGAGTAATGTTAGTTGTTTTGTAATTTAATTGGTCCGGTTGCATTACTGACCTTTTAAGTCAGGCTAACTCTTGACCATTTGAATTTGTAGATCCAGAGGCATTACTACATGGGCAGCCAGGCTCTGAAGGTCTTTGCAGCAAAAGGCGATGAGGTAAGGTGAACTGAAGTTTAATGCTAAATGTATTTTGCTGTATAGTAGTGATGCTTGAGATTGTCCTGTCTTTCTGTGTTAATAAATGGTTTTAATGCAGCTTACAGAAATGTCATATTTCATTGCCCAGTAGGTTAAAAAGAAGTTGGATTAAACCCCAAATGAATACAGTATCTCATGAATAATGAAAAACTGGTAGATACTGTATTTGAGCAAGGTTATGATGAGCCTGAAATTGGTGCTTAAGTCAATTCTCATGCAGAACAGTAACACAGTCACTGTGTTGTTTAGAACAGACCTCCAAAGTACTGGAGGTAAAAAGGTCACTGTGGTGCTCTGATATGTTCCTTTAAGGGTCTGATTTACCTCCCTTTCTCTATCTCTTGCAAAACCTCTGAGAGTTCTTTACACCTGGTGAAAAAGGTGGAATGTGCTGAATCTAAGTTGGCTCAGCTTTGAATGGATCCACTATCATGATGAGATTTGACCTTTCTGCTTCTTTGGTTTAGAAACATGAAAAAATGCTTGTGTTAAAGTTATAGCTAAAATGGAAACTAGTCTTGACTTAATCATTGCTGTTGAATTCCCTGTGGAAGATGTATTTCATGATTAAGAACTTGCATGATTTTGTAGACTTCTTTTTTCCCTCCAGAATGCAGCAGTTGCTTTTTCTGCACTTGTTCGTGCATTGGACGAGTTGAAAGTGGTGGCTATAGTGCGCTATGCTTATGATAGAAGATGCAACCCACAAATTGGAGTAGCTTTTCCGTGTATTAAGGATGCATATGAGGTAATTCTTCACTCTTGCCCTTCTGCAGAGAGACCCAGAAGCAACACAGTATGTCAGAACTTTTGCAGCATATGTTTCCCCTGATCTTTCTTACGAGAGACTATTGAAAGAGCTAAATATGTATAGCATGCCTGAGCAGTGATGGAGGTGGGGGCGGACACAACAATCTTCAGACTTTTGAAGGGTATAAACATAAAGGATGGAAAGGAATTATTTAGGGTGGTATGAACTGGAGGAGGTAATTGAACAAAGGAAAAATGAGGCAGAGAAATGTTAAAAAAAACAAATCCAGCTTTTGACTTTAAAACACAATAAGCTTTGATAAAACTTACCAAAGCGCCAATATATTGGATATTTAAAGCATGGATAATTGGAACTCTGCACAAGAAAAAGGGATCAGATGATCAGGGAGGTCTTTATTCCATGAGCAGAAAAATTGAGTGTAGCCATCACTATGTTATAAAATATAATGTTGTGTGTTATTCTGATTGTGTTGCTCTGTAAATATTTTAAGTGTTTCGATGTGCACAGACATTGCATCTTCTGATTTTTTGTATGTTTTATATCGCCCTGATATGGCACTCAGGGAATACAGATTTTTTTTTTTTACTTCAGGCTCAGTTGTTTTTTCTTTCCTCTTGCACAGTGTCTCATCTATGTGCAGCTACCCTATATGGAAGACCTAAGACAATATGTGTTTTCATCCTTGAAAAACAGTAAAAAATGCGTTCCTACAGGTAAGACATTTGCTGGTCAACTGGAAAAGGAACCTGCTTGTTGTCTTCTAAGATGCTGTAAAAGACTTAGAATATTTGGTTCTCCAGTGAAAATATAAGCTTTATTGTTATTTTGGCTTGAGGAAACACCCAGGTATTTGGGCCTCCATTATGGTGATGTCATCTTGGAGCATAAATGTGTATTAAAGCTTTGCCACTCCAGGTGTGGGCTGAGCAGACCTAAGATTGCAGACAGTATTTCAGCTGTCCTGTTAAATGACTTCTGGCATTGTGAGTCTCACAGGATCCTGTGATAGAGAGCTGAGATTAGTCCTCTATCCTTTGATCTTTGAACTCATTTGTGGGAGTAGGTGGCCAAACCTTGTGAGATCTACTGTGTGTGATTAGCTAGCTAGAATTAGAGCAGAGGCAGCTACTCTGTTGGTGCTGCTCCTGTAGCTGTTTGCAGTATGGTCTATTAATATAATGTACAAAGGCAAAGACAATATTTTCTGTGGAGTGTTATTAAACCACGCACTTATAGGTGTCCAGATTGAGATGGATGGCATCTTTGGAGAACATGCAGCTGCACAAAGCTTTACTTGTTGTTCTGAGAGTTTTGCACAGCAATGAGTCTTAAATGAATGTAGTTTAAAATTCACTCCCGCTTCTTCCATTTGCTGTGAGATGCACTGAATGGGCACCTGCACATCAGGGTATATAGTACACTGGTTTGCTTCTATAACAGTTTCTGTCTTCTTGCCTGGAACCAGCAGTTGGATAACAATTCTAAAACCTTGCTTACCAAGGAAGTGGCTGGCTAGTGTGAACTGTGTTAATTTGCAATCATAACTTTAAAAATTTATATTGCGCCATTTAGTTTTGCTAACCAACTGTTCTCCTTATTTTCTAAGTGGCCTATAAACCTTCTGTTGCAAATGAAAACATCTTGAAAAAGAAGAAAAGAAAAAGCAGAAAGGAAGCAATAATTGAGGTCTTGAGGAAAGATAAAAAGGCTTTATGACTTTACACTGGAGTCCTTAAATAAAGTAGGGGTTTATTATTGTGTCTATTATCCATATTCTTTATTGGCACATCCATAGCTGCAGTGTGTTCTCTGGCATGTAATGACTTGGTGAAAATCTCACATCGTGAAGCGAATCTTCATTTAGAAATTGTTTCAAGAAATTCATCCATCTGCAAGTGTATTTAATCTTCCTTTGTATGTAATTGCTGCCTTAGCGGATCAGTTATCTGCTGTTGACTCACTGATTGATTCTATGAATTTGGTTCATGAAGATGGAGAAACTTCTGAGGACCTATTTAAGCCCAGCAAAATTCCAAATCCTCATTTTCAGAGGTTGTATCAGGTGAGGTGAACTCTATGGTATTTTTAAAAAACTTATTTTCTTCAGGCTTTTCACCTGTGATTCACATTGGAAAGATCTGCATTGTGAAAATGCAGGTATAAATCTCTGGCATTAAAGTATGTGGTAACCGGTGATTTCTGTTTCCCTGACATATATTTATCTTTGAAATTTCTAGTTTCCAGGAAGGAAGGGAAATTATACCTGTGCTGAGGTGTCTGCAACAGCATCAGTTATATTCACAGGCACATGGACTAGGCAAGTAAAAACTTGCCTCTCAACCCTGTATTGTGGACATAGATTCAGTCTCCGGCTTTTGGACAAAGATAAAAATTTGCTGAAAACTGGGGATATCTACAGCTTCTTGTTCTATGCCCCACCACTTTTTTGTGCATTTTTGCACCTAGCAGTGTTCCAAACCAGGTCAATCTGAGGTGAACTAGATCAGTAAGAAATGGTTATTAACGCTATTGACATTTAAAATGTTCTGTTGGGGTGTCTAAGCTGATGCACTTTATGAGCCAGCAGAACAGTTCACACTTCCTGCAGTTATTATATCAAGCTGTCTCCATTTTGATTTACATTCCTTTCATATCATGAAGACTTTCATTTCAACTGTGAGGATGAGAGACTTAATTATACATTGAAATTCAAGTGTTTAAAAAAATGACACAGCAAATTCAAAAATAAAGAAAATTATGTTGCAGTTTAAGCAACTGCAGAATTCTACTGTGTACAGAACCATGGAGATGTATTGAATGTGTGACTCTGCTCTGAAAATTGACCAAAAATGGTATAGCAATCATGTTCATCATATCTCAACAATTCCACATGATTTATTTCAGTTTACAAGTAGGAAGAAGATATTTTTTAAATTAAGAGAACTTACCCTAGCTTCCCAAAGTCTTGGTGTTGTCAAAATAACCGAAGGATCTGAAGGTCAATGTGCGTTTCAGAAACACATGTAAGCCCACTGTCTTCAAATCCTACTCTGATTGACACCCGAAGAATTTGGTGTTCTCATCAAGTTCTGCCAGTCATATTGACAAGACAGTGTGCAACTGTATGCAAGATTTGATCAGTTGGAGGTTATTGCAGGGCAAGAACTTGAAATGATCTGACCTCTCCACAACTCTTATTTTAGGAAGGATTGTTAAGCTTGGATATTGCAAAACTTGGGCTTTGCTTGTAAACTAAATACTTTGGGGTAGAATTTCCTCTCTTGTATTGCTAGTTAGAGTTTTGTATTCTTTTGGTTTAGTGAATGTCACCTATCTTCAGTAAAAGATGGTTTTGTTAGGTGTGCTGTTTGTCTTCTGAAACAGTGTGATGATGGTGTTCCAGCACTTGAGTTAGTTGCTGCTGGAAGAGAGTAACTTGCCAATTTCCTTAGAGGATAATAGGATTTTTCAAGGGTGACTGCTACTGGTAGAAAAAGTATTTATTGACTGAACGTGTGGGGTAGGATACAGTTTCTGTCCTTGCTGTTCAGAAAGCCCTAAACTGTCAGTCCTCTTAGTGCTTTCTTTTGGCCACACACAGCCCCATTTGTTTGTCTTATTACAAAATTGCTATTAATCTGTGTAAGTTCTTCTCTCCTTTGCTGCAAAAATGTCCCAGATTCTTAGTATTTTGCTCTTAGGCCAAGTGGCACTGCTGGTTCCTTAAGAACTAAGAAAATTCTGCATAATCTTTTGACTGTAGCCAGTAAGTGGATTGGGCTGAATAGAACCTATAAATGGTTTTGAAAAATAACTCTGAAGAAAAGGATGAACTCCTACTTCATTTCCTTGCTTTGTTGCCTCATGAAGATATTTGGAATGATAAGTGACAAGAGCCAGAATTTAAACAAAAACACCAAGCTAAATTATATCTCTGGAAGTAGTGGTAGGCATCAGGAAATGACAGAGTGGGTGAGAAGTAGTTGTTAATGCTTGCTGGAGTGGAAGATGAGGAATATCCTATATCCAGACTTTCAACTTTTATTCCTTGCTTCCAGAAAAAACTAAGTGAACTTCTGTAGCTTTTGTAGTGGCTGACTTCCAACGTTATTGTTTAAGTTGTCCATCTTAAATACAGGAATTTGGAGCATCTAAGACGTTTAGGGAATGCAGTGCATTATATTTGTTAGCCAGATAAGCAAATTGCTCAACAGTGGTATTTCTGTACACAGATGGACCTCTTGGTCTGTTGGTGCATATATGGCATTGCTTATCACAGAGTTAATGATGTGAAGTCCACTTCATTACATCCATTGACCAGTATCTTGGTGTGACCCCTGTTCCCAAAAGCTGACTGTGTCTCTAGAAGTGAACATGTAAGAAATTAGGAAGAGCAATGAAGAGTTAATGCCTTGGTGACAACGTTTGCAAGGCAGTGGCACTGTGTGTTCCCTTCTAGCTGTGAAGGTAGGAGTGGTTCTTGCTGGACACAAGGAAGGGGAGGCAAGGTTAAGAGAGTCGGTGTTGGATTAGAAACTCCAGGTTGTCTGTTTAACTTAGTCTTCATTTAGCACCTGAGTTTTGACAGTACCTGCCATCTCAGGTTTCAGATGAAGTCATCTATTTTAAAAACAGGTAAGAATGTTGCTGGATGCTGTAGCCATTCAGTCTGCTCAGCTCCTGCAGCTGCACACATAAAGATTTCAGTTCCAAAAGACTGAAACACAAAGGCTTAAGAGGGGACTTGAGTTTTTTTTGCTTTGTGAGTTTAATTCAATTACTTAACTTTTTAATATATTTTTTTGTATTGCAAGAACCATTACTGCAGTTTCCAGCAACATTTTTAATCTCTTTCAAAATAATTGTGCCTTAAATCATTACAAGTGTTTCCAAATCAGTAGCCTTGTACAACTGCCTCCTTTTGACAGTATGTTCTAATATGGACTGGAATCTTAATGGCAGCCTGAAAACACATCAGTATTGATGTGTCACACATTGTCTCCATTTTCTGTATTGGCAACTTTCCAGCATGAATAGGGGCTTTTATTTGCTTTGATTTTGTTTTTTAAATTAATGTCATGTCTGACAACTGACAGGGTAGGAAATCTCTGCTGTATTCTTAGTGTACTGAGTAGGTACCTTCACATGGGTGTCTAATGCACCCAGTACAATGGGCATGGAAAAAAATTGTCTCCTTTGTACATCACATCATTTGTTTTGATGTGTTTATGTGCATGCACTGGTATCTGTGTGTGTATTTGTAAATGCACATACCTCTCTACTGCTATCCCACACTTGACAAAATTTTAAAGATATTTACTTTTTTTTCAAAACCCTCCATGGAATTTCTGTAGCCTGCCTCATTAACCTTGTCTCTCCCCCTCTGCTTGGCTCCCTGACTGTGTGTACTGACTCTACGCTTGGGTGAAAAATCCTTCTCTGTATCTCTCACCATCTGTTCCAACTTTGTGCATCTGTCAGGCCCCTTCATTCCCTACTCCTCTCAAAGCTAGGTTCCTAACATACATATATTCTGTGCTTCACCTGTGCACATTTAGTATTCTGTCTTTCCATTTCCATTCTCTCTTAAGTCTGTGAACATTTCTTCTGTATGCTTTCTGAGTTCAATTGGCCAAGAAGAAATGTTTTCTTTGAAGGATGTTAAACTGTTACAGTATCTGGAATGTGTGGTTGGCACAGATCTCATTTACTTAATTCTGAAATTAAGTATAGAAATCTCTCCCATGTGACTTTTATAGGATAACTGCATTTTAAGGTAGAGTGAAGCTAAAAATATGAACAGCTGCAGATGACTGTTTAATTCCTGGGATTTTTCTAATAATTTTCATAAAAGTCATTCCAGTGAGTGTGGGAATGCTCATCTGCATCAGTATTCTTGTTTAATATCATTAATGATCTCCTTAAACAGTTGATCATAGATTTTCAATCCACTGTGAGGCAGAATATTTTTCAGCAATACAAAGGTAGTATGTTTAATATGGAAGATACTTGCAGTTACCATATGGTGTACAGGCATAACGTTAAAAGTTTTTAATATGATTGAAAGTTCTGCTTTGCTCACAGTGTTTTGTTTCTTGCAGTGTTTGCAGCACAAGGCTTTTCACCCTGATAAGCCACTGCCGCCAATAGAACAGCACGTCTTAGAAATGCTGGAGATGCCTTGTGTGGTAAGAGAAAGGTGTCAGGCTCCTCTGGAAAGAGTAAAAGCACTTTTCCCCCTAAAGGAAATTGGCAAGAAAAAAGAAGAGAAGACTGCACAAGACATCTTCAAAGACAAGTAAGTTGGAGATGTATTATAGATTTTTTTGAAACTTTTTTTTTTTTACACTTCAGGTTGTTTTTGCTGGATGAAGCAGGCTCAGAATCTTTTGAACAGAAAATCAATGAGTTACACAGTGGGAAAAATGCTGATGGATGGAGAATATTGTGGTGCCACAGAATGTCTGGAGAATTTTGTGAATAGTGGTGGTCATACTGTTGCAGTGCAGTACACACTAGGAACCAGTGTGTAAGTTCCTTGTGTCTGTGTTTGCTGTCAAAGAATCACAGAATCTATCAGGTTGGAATGGACCACAGGAGGCTTCTTGGTCAACCTATTACTCAAAGATGACCTGTGAGATCTAAGGAGGGATTCATCCAGTCTTGAAAACCTTCAGGGTTTGTGCATCCTTTCTGGGCAATGTATTGCATTACTTTCTGTCTCCTAGTCAGATAGGTTGTCCTAGAGGTGGTTATAAAATATTTCAAATAGCACTATCAGAGAGTCTAATTTAGTTTAGAAGAAATTCTGTGGTTCTTTAAATTAGCCATAAAGTTGAGCCTTCCTTCTCAGCATGCTTGATTTAGGTAATTGTTGAGTTTTCATTTTGAATATCAAAAGAAAAGCAGTTTCATTATTATCTGCTGTGCAATTAATATGGTTGTCTCAAAAAAAATCAAGCTGTTATGGACTCTTCCTGGAACAGCTATTGTTTGAACAGTTTTAAGATAGGGTATTTTTATTGTTTTTGAATATACTGTGTTTAGTTTATTTGTGCTGCAGATATGAAGGGTAAATACTAAATTGATACTGCAGTTGTACTGTCACCCCAGCCAAATCAATCTGTGTAAACAAAATCTGCTTCTTAGAAATTAATTTATTGAAATCTGTAATAAACTAGTGGATCCCTGAGATGTTGGAGTATTCTCAGTTAGCTCCTTCTCCCTTCATTTTGTCATTTTTGGTTCAATTCTTTCAGTGCTAGGAGCAAAGCTTTTGAGGTCTTTTGAGCTCTTGCTTAGCTCAGCTGTCATATATCCTTTCATCTGGGTTGGGTAGAGCCTCCTCAAAATACTGTCTTTGGGAAGACATGACACAGGACCCCTCACTTTGCTGCTTGAGACTGATGACCACATTCCTCTCTACAGACTGGGAAACACCTGGCTTTTTTGTTGTTGTTCCCGAGTTCATTGTGTTCCTGTTGCCTTGATGTGTCTCTGAATTCATAATGATTCATTCTCTTTTCCTTACTCCGTGCCCCAGTTTCTCAGGGTTTATGTACATATGTACATTTATATGTACATCTTAAAAAGTCATAGAGCCAGTTTAGAAATAAAAGGCAAAAATTGAGCTCAAACAAGCTAGAGAGAGAATTTGAACAAAAAGCAGTGACCCATTACTTTAGTTGCTTTAAAATACATCTTCCCAAAAGCATCTGACAAGCAAGAAAGAAATCTATTTTGTTTAAAAACTGGTTTCCTTTAGAGGGGTGATAAAAGTAGCTGTAAAAGTAATTTAGATAGAAATGGATGTGGGCATTAAAATTATTTTTTTTAAAAAAAACTGTAAAGGAAGTGAAAGGATACAGACTCAACTATGCAAAAAAGAATGAATGATGGTTAAGATTGTAAAAAAACTGCAGAAAAATGTCATTGCTGTAGTAATGAATGGGACTGGTGGTATTTTATCGTTGCTGCAACAGCGGTCTTAACTGTATAGTTTTGTTCTGTGTTTGGGGGAAAGCTGAGATGATGCAATTTATTCACTGGATAAAGAAAAATACACCACTCTTCAGTAATAATTAAGGAAAATATTAAACAACAGAGACACTAGCCCAGGTTGCCCAAAGAGGTTGTGGGTGCCCCTCCTTGGCAGTGTTCAGGGCCAGGCTGGATGGGGCTTTAGGCAGCCTGGTTTAGAGCCCATGGCAGGGTTGTAGGAAGTGGGTGATCTTTAAAGTCCTTTCCAGCCCAAAGCATTTTGTGATTCTAAATGCTATACTTCTATGAGATTCAACTTACTAATACTAAGATACAGGTTTCACTGAAGTATTTGCAAAAAGTTGTTGAGAAGATGTCTTGGCCATTATTTTTGTTTTATAAAACTGATTTGTATTTCCTGTCTTCATATCGACCAGATTCTTCTCTGTTAATTTTTAAGGTCTAATAGGACTAAAGCAGCATAATTGTAGGCATGATCTCTTAACAGAGATTTCATTATTGTATCACCTTTGCTTAAGATCTGTGTAGTTTAAAAAATATTCCAGTGAAATAGAAAACATTTTACTTTCTCCTTCTTAGGTTGGCTGTTATCTCATCCAGCTTTGTAGGATGTGAGAGGCTTCTATATTAATGTAGAAGTGGGTGTTTTAAATTAATCTTGTATTTTATTAATTTTTCTCAAATAGTAATTGCACGTTTTGCAGTTTAAAAATACTGCTAATCAGTGCATATTCTAAATGTCAGATCCTTGGCTGGTATAAATGGCTATGGATTCATTAGTTTCTGCTGTGCTGCACTGATTAATGATAACTGTAGATTTGGTCCTAGGCTGTTAAATGCAGCATCATCACTTATTTTCTCCTTCTTCCAATCCCAAAGCATTTTGAATCGGTAAAAATAATGCAGGAAGAAAAAGAAGAAATTTGATTGCCATATACTTTTGGAGGAAAATATTCTGAAAGAGAATTTTCCTTGTTCTTTACACCTTTCATCAAACTGTGTTAATATACAAGATTTTTGGTTCCAGTGGAGCTTCTATACTCTCTGGTGTTGATAAGTATCAGTTTCTCCTATAGAGGGACACACTGGATGTTCAAAACAATTAAGTAATTCATTCCAGGTTAGATAGAGAGTCAGCAGAGTTGAGAATGAAGCAAGGGTGTCCTATCCTTGTCCTTAGGCATAACTAAAGCCATCATTTCTCCTAGAGTGGTAAGTGAGGTTATGCTGAATGACAGGAGTTGCTGAGGAGAAGTGATTTCATTTCGGTAGTGTCAAAACTAAGTAAAGGACAGAGAAGATTGCTGAAACAAAGTGAGATAGACAATGATTGTAAAGTAGGGGAGGAGTGTGCTATAGAAAGCAAAAAGGAGGACTCCACAAGTTCTTTCTAATAGTTGATTGCTTCTGTAACGTGCAATTCAGCTTTTGCAATCAGTTCTAATCTTGCAGAATGAAAAATTGGCTCCTAGTCCAGGATCTCTGGCTTTGTCCCTACATCATCAAGCTGTTTCTTCTTTTCACAGTAGTAGAATTTTTCAGAAAAAACTTGTTACTTTGTTTTGGGATTCCTTGAACACCAATCCTAGCCTTTGGGGTGCTGAGTAGCTTTCAGTCATTCTTAAACTGAAATCAATTCATCTGTGTCAGTAGCCTGACAGTAACTGAGTTTCTTCCCCTTTTGTGATTATCTGGCTTTTCTTCTGTTGCTGAGATGTGCTCTAAAGTTAGCATGTTACATGTTAGAGTTAAGTTCCTAGTTTAAATGTATACCTTACTCTATGTTACCTGTAAGGACAAAGTGAGAAAGTAGCCCAAAATCACAATTAGCTTTTTAAAAATAATAAGTAGTCTTCAGAAATCGTTTTGAGATGTAGCTTAAAATGTCCTAAGAGAGTTCTGATCTACTTAACTGGATTTTGTCTAGCAGGTTTTAACAAATATAAGGTGAAAGTTTACAGAGCTCTCATATGCTGATGGAGAATAGTTGTCATTACACTCAAAAGCCACTGTGTAAACAGGTTTGTTAGCTGTAAATTCCAAGACAGGATCTAGCAGGTAGTGACTGAATAGTAAAATAATGGCTTACTAAAATGGTAGATTTTCACTGATATTTCATGTATAGAAAAAAAGCCTAATGAGAATAGCAAATTCTTATTACGGTCATCTTATATACTGTAAATTATCAAGGTTAACTCAACACAGAGGTTCCAAATTGTGTTTGGAGATATTCTGTATTTAGAAAGATGAAGAAGGTCTGTGTAAGTAAATTTACACCTGAAATAAGCACTAATAATCTCATACCTTCAACAAGTGATGCCTTTGCTGTATGCTAAGATGAAGTTTGATCTCTGTTTCTACTGTCTGGTTTGTGCAGCCTAAGGGACAAATGAGGCATGGTTAAATGTTGATTTTGGAATGGTTGTGTAATGAGGTTTAATTCAGTGTATATTTCATTAATTTACTGACTCCCTAGTTAGTAGGCCGGACAATCTTCAAGTGTTTATATTCATTTTTTGTCCTTCTCATTTGCAGTGAGGATGAACCCAGCCTTAAGAAACCAAAAATTGAAGATGAGGAAGAGAGCTTTAGCATTATGAAACTTGCTGAAGGCAGTATCACCTCTGTAAGCATATTTTCACAAATCTGATTATTAAAGGGGAAGACTAATTCTCTAAGTCTATTATAGTGAGTATACAGAATTCCTTATAAAAGGAGAGTTTCTAGCTGAAACATGACTAAAATACTGTTTACTTGTACATTTGAGACTCTCTGCTAGAGATTGTAAAGACAACTTTCTCTGCCCTTAGGCATATGTTAGCACAAGTTTCTATCAGTCGTGGATATTTTAGGACAAAATTCTCTCCTGGTGTTTAGAATTTTAAAAGGAAAGCCTGGGGATCTAAAGAAAACAGAATTGGAGCTCAGTGGTTGAATTTTGTTCTTGCTGTCTTTCATATCTTCTGCAACATAGAAGTTGTCTCTTTGTATTTAACCAAAAGTATTGCTGTGATTTTAGACATTGTTCTCTCCATTAATCGGGGGTCTAAATCAGAAATTTGGCTTCATCTTGCCACTAGATAAAATTTTGTGAGTAGATGAAAGTTGTATCATAACTGTACACCCTCCTTTATTTGTTGTTTTCCTCTTATTAAAAAAAAAAAAAATTGAGCTAATTTCAATTTTTTTCAAATGTGCTATTCTTTATGGTTCATTTTGAAAAATGCATTGTTGGTACTTATAAAAATATTTAAAGTCTAAAAAGATTTCAGTGTTCTGTAATTCTAATATAATTTTCTGGTATTTCCTGAAAAGTGGCATCGCTAGATCTTAAAGAAATACAGTGAGACCAAGCAAATGTATTGCAAAGTCCATGAATTATTTTGATAGCAAAGCATAAAAATTATAAAAAAGTAGGAGAATTATGATTGCTGATAAGAAAATTTAAGCAATGTAGAGTTTTTTTTGTTTTTTCCCCTGTAGTTAATGCATCTATTTTTCAGTGTTTATTTATATTTGACCTGGTTTTAGTTCCTTTGAAAGGTTTCTGCATTTGCATGCTCATTTAGATCTTTGGCTTTAAGATGTCAGACTCTGCCAGATAGCCTAGGTGATTTAAGGGAAAGTTTTTAATTTTGGGGTTCCTATTGGAGTGGCAAAGCACCTACGTGCCTGGGAGCTCACACTCCTCACTAAGCATCTGGTGAGATCAGGGAGGTCTGAGAGGTCTGTGCTACAGAAGATCTCAAAGCTGAACTAGCAGATAACCTGAACTTTTGTGTTTCTGTCCTCTCAGTACCAGAAAAGTGGTCAACTTGCAAGAGTGCAGCAGAGTGAGTTCATCTTGCTCATGTCATAACCAACCTTTGCCAGGAGTTACTTGCATTTTTTGAGTCTGAGTGCAGAGAAGTACACAGCTGCTGTTTTCATATTAAAGTAAAAAGAAATTTAAGGGTTCTTGTTGCCTGACAAGGAGAAAGAGATGGATGTTGGAAGACAATTTAATTGTTTTTTATACTTTTTCTAGGTAGGCAGTGTTAACCCAGCAGAAGATTTCCGAATTCTGGTGAGGAAGAAAAATGCTGACTTCAAAGATGGTAAATGGCTTTTGTCTATCTTAATTATACTAGAGCACCTTCAGGGTTCAGTAAATGCAATCCATCTGTCTTAAACATAAGTTGCTGGTGTGAGTTCCTGTAGAATTTACAGGTTAGCTTGTAGTGCCATGCAACCAAGGAAGGTGTCATCTGGAATTCCCATTTAATAATTAATAATTAACCCATATAATAATTATTCCAATAATAATTATTCAATATAATTATTAATAACAGTAATTATTAATTCTTATTACAGTAATTAATAATTAATTACAAGTTAATACTTGCCTTCCCCAATTAAAATTCTCAGGTAGCTGTTTTTGGGTAAGAAGGCACTAGACTGCTCCATTGAGGCACCTGAACAACCCCTCAGGTGTTTCTAACAGAAGATCTCTTGGTATTCACCGACTGCCTCACTCAGAATGAACCTCAGCTTCTCATTCCCAGGATCTTCCTGGCCTGAAGTGGAGAGATGTTGGGTGTGTACAATGTGAGAAATCTGTCTTGTGTTCCATGAACAAAAAAGAGACTCTCATGCCTGGGACTTAAATCTTTACATGCAAAGGTCATTTCTTACTGTTTGTGAGCAAAAGAAGGCACAGGTCAATTCAGAGTGGAATAACCAGGTAGTATTTGTAATCTGAAAGTTGGGAGGGAGTTCTGTGTCCACTGACTCTTCTCAGAGATGAAGAACAGAAGGCACAGGTGAAAGCACTCTCTTGCATGACCTAAGTCTGAAAATGCAATGAAATTATCATTGGTTTATATGGTATTTCCCTCCTGGAGTAGCTATATGTATGAGATCTATGTAATCCAAAGTTGTCTTGAAAAGAGTGCATAAGATGGATGGGGTCCTTTATCTTGTAAAGGGCGATTTGAAGGTTGTGGCAGAGTAAACCTGATCTGCCAAATAGCCACAAATGTCACATTTCTTTTCAAAGAAAGATTTGCAGAAGTGCTTAAGTGAAGTGCTGGGTATTTCAATAAGACCTTTGGTCCTTTTGGATGTAGTTTCAGGAGTGTGTTTAGTGGTAAATTGAGTTGTGATATGGTCAGTTAAAGCCTACATACCTATTTCTCTCCAGACCTCTAAGCCAGCTAGCTAGCTTTTTTACATGGATTTTTCATTGCACCCAGAAGAAATTATTTATTGAAAAAATGTTTGGAGTTGTGTTCTTAAATCTCAGATATATTAAGATGCAGTAAAAAAGCATTGTACGATGCATTACAATACAGAAACTGTGGAATGGTTGACTACTTTGTTATGGTGATAAATTTTATCATGTAGGAAAGCTTTAAGGCAGAAATAAGTATAGTGATTACCCTTGAAGATGGTTTGACTAGGAAGAGATTTTAAATATGTCTACTTGGTAGCTGTGCTGGAGATAACTGCAGTACATTTGGAAAGTTCTGAAATTTTGAGCAATTTGCTTTTATTCTATGTGATCTGCTCTATAATGATAAGGTGTAGTTAAACAGAATGTAGTGCAGTCACCCATTTAAAGGAGAGATAGAAGCCACTAAAAATAAAAACATGCTTTGCATATTATCTCTTTCTTCTGGATAATCCTTTTTGTGCTTTTAGAACCTTTTAGGTGGCTTAATACACTGAACATTGCAAGCATGTTTTTGATGGCTTGCTGTATTGCACTTTGGTTATGAAAATAGTCAATTCTGCCTTAAAACTATTCAGTGGTTCTAAGGGTTTTTTTGGTATAATTTTGTCATTTAATGATGAAACTTTTTTTCCCTAGAACATAAGAAATATGAAATTTCTTTGCAGAAAAGGATAATGTCTAGCATTCAAATACTTAATTTTAAAAAGGGTAGCATGTGTCATGATGCAGACAGAAGAACTGCTAAGTTGCATTCTGTTTTTCTTTCTTGTATTAAAAAAACATCTACTACAGTCTTCCTAACTGAATAGAGCTTACATTCACCTTTTAAAATAACAGCAGTCCTTTCATTGGGAGGAGAAAGATCTTCCAGCTGTTTGATTGGAGATGGATTGTTTTAAGCCAAGTTATAGCAGTAAGAAAGAGTTGTACTTTAGATACTGACACTACAGTTGCTTTTTAATTCAGCTGCAGGTTAATGGCACACCCACGCCAAAATTATAAAGAGATGGCAAGGTGATTATTTTTCTTCTGAAACGGCTTGTAGGATGTTCTGATGGTATATTTATCATTGAAAATAGGTACCAGTATATTTCCTGCAGTGCCCTCAATGGGATTCATTAATCAGGGTTTGTACCTTTCATAGTGGGAGTCTTAGGTGGAAGCTAGTCTGTCTCTGATGCTACATGAGAACTTTACCACTAATGCCTAAATACATATCTTTAGAAAAATCAAAGATTTTCCGATTGGTAAGGGTCTTGGGTTTTCTGGACTGGCAGCTCAGTTCCTGAAACAATAATTCACTTTGGTTTTACCTGAAAACTGTGTAGTTTATTACAGTAGGGAGCTGCTTAAGGGTTACATGGTGAGTTACGTTTGATGGTATCAGCCTACTGGTTAACACTGATGCTCATGTAACTAGAATTGTGTTCCAGTCTAGACATCCTTACTTTCTTATTTGCATTCATGGCCAGAGAGATGTCATTTCATGCAGGTCTTATTTTGAGCAAGTCACAAGTGTACAGTCATCACAAAGAGATGTCTTCTGATAACAGCTTCTGACGTTTTTGTCAATGACTGCACATATAATAGATTAGTTTACCTGACTAGAATCTAATTGTTGCTCCCAAGGGTGTACAATGAGTTTTTTCATTGCTGTGGCTTCAGAGAAGATGCTCAAAAGCAGTCAGTGCTTGCCAGCTTTGTAATGCCAAAGAAGTAGCCATATACTACTGCTGCATCCTCCTATTTGGAGGTTTCATCCATGTCTGCATGTCTGGAGAGCAGATCATGTCTGATGCATTGTATTTTCTTAGGCTTCTGTATAAGATGGAATCGGGGGAGTAGAAAAAGGTATTGACACATGCATAGTATTTTCTTTGATTTGTAAATTTTCTGTGTGAGTTTATAGCCATGTTTCATTGCATCTTACCATACTCCTGTCTGAGAACATGACAAAAAAGCTTTTTTTATTTTACTGATTGTCAGCTGGGAGAGAAATCTGCAATGACAACTCAACAGTTTATGGACCTAAGAAAAATGTCCAGAGACAAATTGCACTAAGCTCTTATTCTTATATTTATAGTAAGTTTGTTAATATTTTGTTCCTAGGCATTTTTAGGAAAATACAGTTAAAGGAATCAGTAACTGCGTGTGAACAATATTGGTATTTTATTGCAATATTTTCTGTAGAAATAAGTATAGTTAATTACCTTTCTGGAGCTAAGATAGTTTTTGAAGAAGCTAATACTTAATTTCATTCCTTGTTGGCATGTTTTTGCAGTTTGTCTGCATTTTTATCTTACTGGATGTTTTTGTATATTTCAGAGATTATTCATGCTCTACTGCTAGGTAGGCCAAATGCAGTGACTGGTTTGATGAAAATGATTCAGTCATTAGAAAGTTTTTACAAACCAAATACTTGTGTATATAGAATCACTTTGAAGTTTTCTGTATATCTGCTTCACAGAGAAGATGAAGCCAGGTTTGTCTTTGAAGGTCATAGTGATTGGATGAGACTCAAAGCTCTGAGTTGAAATAAACAGAATTTGAATTAGATGTTATGGAGAAAAAGATAATAAAGATCACAGTGATGGGACTCAAACACAGAAAAAGGGGCTCAGGGAACTTGGAGACTCTCCATCTTTGGAGCTACATGGAACTCAAGTCTGTGAGGCACTAAGCCACCTCTTCCACAATGAACCCTGTTTTCAGCAGGGATTTGAGTCATTTGGATATGTCCTTCAGTTATCCAGCCTCAATCATTTTGATCCATACTTACAGAACATGTAGAGACACCATTTCCAAACTGAACAGCACCTCATAGGGTATTGGAGTAGTTCAGCAGCCAACAGCTCTTGATCTTCAAATTCTATTTTCTTGGCTTTAAGATGGAGGTCTGTAAAAATTGGTAGCCTTTTCAGTTCAGAATTTCTTTCTTCTTTTCAGTTCAAGAAAGATGATACAGAGCAGTATTTTAAAATTAATTATCAGGTGATTTAACTGATTTGTTAGTGAATCACACTTTAAGTACTGTCCATGAACACAGATTGTTACCACCAGTAGCACGTTAATCAGAAGATTAACAACGGGAGTCTTTTGTCTAAAGGAAGAATTATTTTCTTAACCTGATTTATTTTTTTTAGGGGGCGGAAATCCCCAATGAATCAAACTTGGAGTGTAATAATAGACAGTTTTGGCTACTATTATTGTGTATATCTGATTGGTATAGTAATCAAGACCAAGAGCTGAACTGAACAAACATGAAAATATAACTGCACTTTTGTACTGTAGCTGTTCAGAGATAACAAGTGAATATAATTGTTCATGGCATATTTCACAAAAAATGACAGCACTGGTGAATGTGTTTTGGAGTAGGAAATGTATCTGAATGCCAGAGGGGAAGGGATTAAATTCTGCTAGAACTAAAAGATCTATTCTGTGATTTCTTTTTTTCTCCCTGCAGTTCTCCAACCCTTAATAACTGTATTTGTTATCTAACCAGTCAGGTACAGTAGAAGGAGGAAAGAGGAGATTAAAACTTCTTGGGATGTTCTGCAGAATGTGTTGGTTATTAGGAGTGCTGGAAATTTCAGTTAATGCAAAATGTAGAAGTCTGTTGTTAGTTCATTTCCTTAAATGTGTGTGGAATGAGGGAAGTTGGGAGAGAAGAAAAAAGTTACAATTAGACAGAAGTGGCCTGAATAGGCTGTAGGTTTGTAACTGAAGGGTCTACTCTTCAAAACCTCAATGCCTGAGATTTGTTTGGGACACAGAGTTAATGCCTATCACAGCATTTGGGTATGTCCTTCAGTTATCCAGCCTCAATCATTTTGATCCATACTTACAGAACATGTAGAGACACCATTTCCAAACTGTTTAAAAGACTGTAAAAAGACATCTTTATGCAGAACATGCCTTCCTCCAAAAACAGGGACATCTATTTTTTGCAGCATCCAGACCCAAAGATTCAGACTAATGAAAAGGCAGCAGGAAATCAACAAAGTTCTCAGATTAGAAATGTAAAGGAATAGCAACCACTTCAAGAATTTCTGGCTATAATCCTTATCTACTGTCTGTAGTATTACTTTTGGCCCCCTGAAGTAATTTGGTAGTCTGATCAGAACATAGGAATTTTTGTCTATTTTAGATTCACTGGCTTATCATTTAAGGGAAACCCAATGGACAGAACCAACTTCTTAGCCAAGCTATTTCAGGCTGTTAGAGGAATGTGATTTTAAATACTGCTGCCATGTAACATGTTTGCTGCCTATATTATGGACTCTCAGTGCCTGGTAAAACATTGGTGGTTTTGTTTTTTCCTTACAACAAATTTCAAAAGGAGACATCTCACAGTCAGTAGCAAGAGAGTCTTTTCTTCTAATGGCTGCCAGGGCAATCAAATGGACAGGGATTTAAAAAAAAATTAAATGCAGAAGAAGTAGTAGAGTGTCTGATAATTTCAAACAGTATGCTGGAATCTTTCTGACAATAAAGACTTTTATTGCACCCTCATAGTGCCTGAGGTTTTAATTTAACACATCAATGAGAAGATAGTGTTTAAAAAAACCACCACCAATACTGAAAACACCAGCAGGACTTGCTTTTATTAGTGCAATTCATAAGAAATTAGAACATTTAATGAGAAAATCATTAACCATGGAAAAAATGGACTGACTTAACTTGGGAAGCTTAAGTAGTTAGACTTCAATTTAGTTTGTCAGCTACTGGTGAAATAAATAGAGTGAGCTGATTACTTCTGGCACAGTAGGCACTTTAGCACACTTTTTTTCGTGCTGTAGCTGCTGTTGGACAGAACCATTATTTGCCTCCTTTTCTAGAAACTGTCAAAAGCTAGTGGGAGAATATCAAACATGCCTTATTTCACACTATTCAGGGATGTTGTCCTTCAGATTCAATTCAATTAGGTATTTTATAGAAAATAATACAACAGCCAGTGCTGTGCATACTCACAGTGAGCAGAGTGGAACACAGTACTTAAACAATGTCTCCTTCTTGGTGTGTTTACTTCTTGTTTCTTCCACCACTCTGGCAGGTGATTTTCTTTGTTGATGCTTCCACAGCTGAGATTATTGAGGTGATGTCTATGCCCATAACACCTGGAGCTAGGAAGAGCTGTAGGTCAAGGGAAGGGTTCTGCTAATCCACTGACTGGTCTTTAGCAGTACAAGAACAGGACAGGCAGATGCTGCAACTTGGTCAGGAAGCTTTCCTGAATCTTTTTCCTCAATGGTAACAATACTGTTAAATCTCCCGTGATAGACATCCTCTTTTAAGAATTCTAAGAATTTCTTCAGACATTTTTTAAGCTGTCAAAACTTAAATCAGCCTGTGGTAAAGGGATTAACTGATGTACATTTTAAGAGATCCTGTTTTGTTGTTTGTTCTTAACCCAAATCTTGGCTCTTGTTTTGATAGAGGCAGGGCACTGTTAGCTCCCTATTCTATCCCTATCATATTTTTCACAATGCTTCTGAGTTTATAGATCACTGTTGTATCCTCCTCACACTTGTGTTTTGCCTGGCTGAGGTGTCTGCTAGAGGGTAAAATTGGGCAGTTCCTTAACTGTAAGTAAATATTGAAGAGAAAGTAAATTAATAAAATCCTGCAGAAATTAGTTGGGATTTTCAAGGCTCTTGGGTAACATTTTCTCTTGTCTGTTTGCAGTGGTTTATTTCTCTATTAATTTGTTTCTCCTTGTCTTCCAGTGAGTCAGCAGTTGATAAACCGCATTGATCAGTTCTTGGAAAATAAAGGTTCACAATACTACATAAAAGGGATTGCCTGTATCAGAGTTTTTAGAGAGGAGGCCATTAAGGTAATGTGTGAATACTCTAACCTCTTTCACATTGAAGGTATGGTTGGGCCTATTTGCTTTATAATTTATTGCTGCAGCAGAAAGAATTTAACTTTAAATATATTTCAAATTTTAGAAATAGAGTTGCATTTTATGGGGGCTTTTATTGGTACTGGAATGGGGACTAGCCTCTCTGGTATTATTTGCTGTTGTTTTTGTATAAACATAAAACAGAAAGCCTATGACCTGATGATTGTGCTAGTTAAAAGTGGAATCCTACAATTTTCTTCTTCAACAAAGCTAGTTACAAGAAAGTCTTTCTGGCTTCCTGAAAGGCACATTTTGTGTCTTGCCTTTCCTTAGAACTCATGGTTTTAATAGAAATAAAACCCAAATTCTGTAGAGATGTTTGTGCTCGCCATGTTGAATGACTTCATGAAGAAGCTTGTAGTGCTCTTTAGTAGTTTTAGTATTTCCTGCTTACAGTTGCTGTTATATTTTTTCAGCTGTCCAAGGTGCAGTGCTTTAATGACTTTCTGCAGGCCCTGAAATCAAAGTTGGAAGATAAAGCCTTATCTGATTTCTGGGAGATCATGGTACAAGGTAGGATGACGTGTAAAAAAGAATCAGACAATTTCTAGTTGTATTATGCATTTATCCATTAAGTAAGAAAACTTCATTAGCAGTGGGGCACTTAGACTAACCCCACTGCAGCATTTTGATATGCTTCATTCCTGCAGCCTATTTAAAAAAAACAACTTTCATGTTGCAGCTTCTTTTCCTTTTCTGCACTAATAGTTTCATATCAGCATTATTCATAATGCATTACTAAGTCTTGTTGAAATGGTAAATTAATTGTGGAAGAAGAGACAAATTAAATGTTATGGGGTAAGGAGAAGGCACAATTTCAGCTGAATTTCAGAATAAATGGAAAAAAACTCATGCCATAGAGCTATAAAAAGATTCTTGCAGTTTAAGCCTCCAAAAAGTCACAGATAACGTTGAAATGTGTCACTGATCATTTTGTATTTAAGTAACCTGAAGGACAGAATATGTGATAATATGACACTTACTAATGATTAAACTGGGAGATAAAAGGCAGTGCCATTCTAAAACACATTCAGAGACTATGCAAGTGATAAATACTTTTCACAAATAGAAAATATAGTGGACTAAAAAAAAAGTCTTTTGCGTCATACTCTTGTTTTTAATTGGAACCAATGCTAAGAAAATCTGTTAAATGCCCAGCTGTATCTCTTAAGTGTGCATACTATAAAATGTAGTGATGTGCTTTTGTATAGTACCATTCAAAGTGGTGAGCTCCAGACATGCTGTAATGTCTAATTCATCCAATATCTTTGAATTACAGGATGGGAAGTTGTTTAGCAATCCAAAAAAAACAGCACAGGACAACACTTGATGAGAACATTATATTCAGTAGTGCTGTAGGGGACCTTCTCTGTATAAATTTGGAAAAAGAAACCAATAAACTTTGAAAGTAGCAAACTTGGATCTTTAAAACCATGAATAATTTTTAGTTAGTATAAATCAGAGTTTTTTTGACAAACTGGAGTACATTTTTGAGGAAAAAAATCAACTAAACAAATACAAAGAGATGATATTTTCATACAGCAGAGATTATCTTCCTTTGAGAACATGGTGAAATGAAATCTTGATGCTTTATGCATAATCTGGCTACTCTCAGTAGGCAGCTGAAATTGCTTTTTACTGGCTGCTAATAAGAGCAGAAGTCCCGTTTTCTCTCATTCTTGCCACATGACCCGTCCCCTCTTTTCCACCAAATGTGGTGTTGCATTGGGTCTTGACATGAGTGACTGCAGTCACCAAAAGAAGATGGATATAAGTTAGTGAGTTAGTGGCGCAGAAGAAAGGCAGATCTGTTTGACAAATTCCTTTGTTTGATGAAACTCTGCCATGTGGTTCTGTGGGCACATGAAGGTGATACTGTGCTTACACTTCTGCTGAAATTTATATGAATCTCCGATTCCTTGCTCTCACACCCACAGCTGCTTATTTAGGCAGAAGCATTGATACAGCCAAGTGATGAGCTAGACTGGAGAAACTATTAGGGTCAAAATAAATGGAGATTTTTAAAATTTCTTTTTTGGGGGGGGG